AAAAAAAAAAAAAAAGAAGCGGTAGAACTGGGACCTGCATCCTGAGTACTGACCCCAGAAATTCCATCCCTGAGTGCCACGCACTCTGATGTATCCCTCAAGGACAGGAAGTCACCAGGGAAGTATAGACAAAAATATCAACAGGAGTTGCCATGGAAACAATGGTAATAATGGCTGCCACTGTGGAGCTGCTGCTAAACCCCAAGCACGTTACTGGGTGCTTTAGAGTTTATTCTCGACTCTACAGACAGGCAATAGTGATCCTCATATGCAGAGAGAGAAACTGAGGCCCAGAGAGCTGAAGCAAATTGCCCCAAGTGCCACAGCTCTTAACTGGTAGGACCAGGACTCACATTCAGGTCTGTTTCCAAAGCCTGTTTCTCTGTATTCATCAGCTGTTGATTCTGTGGCCGGCCAACCTAGTGCCACTGCTTGTGTGGGCAGTGACTACATTTATTGAGCATCGACTATAGTCCAGGCACCAGGCCAGAAGCTGTCCATGCCCATCTCAGTTAACGCCGAGAGGGCCCGTGACTGGCTCCTGGGTAACAGGAAGGCTGGCTCAAGTGTGACTCAGTGTGCCCACCATGTGCCCACTCCCAGGCCAAACGCAGCCCAAGGGTCTGGAGTTGGGTTGATTCCGGAGATGGGGTTCAGCTGCACTGCCAGGTTCATGGCAGCCCCAGGCAGTCATGATGTCCAAGTGACTCTTGTTCTTCGCAAGTACTGCCATACATTGTCCTGTGCAGTCCTCAGCTCCAAGAGGTTCAGAGAGGGGCAGCCAACTGCTGAGGTCACACAGCCAGGGAGGGGCAGAACTGGGATTTGGCCCCAGGCCTAACTCCAAAAGCCTGCTCTTAGCCCCAACCTAGACTCAAATTTTGTCTTCTACAGGGGAGAGCCTGAGAGTGATAGCGAAGCAAGAATATCCCCCAGTTACAAGAGAGTGAGCCTTAGCGCCAACAGATCACTTTACCAGCTTAACTGAGAGGCAGTATTGCTCAGTGGTCGCAAGCAGTGGCTTCAAGTGACCTTCCGATCAGAGTGACTGAGTTAGGCCCTTGGTTTACACAACCTGGTTTCCTTTCCAGGCTCCACCACTCACGGTGTGTCTTTGGCAAATCACTTCACCTCTCTGTGCTTCTGTGGGCCCATCTGTAACATGGAGATAGTAGTGCTACCTATCTCGTAACGTGGTTGCCGGTAGCAACCTGAGTTTACGTTGCAGAAAGGGCTTAGAACAACGGGTGAAACGAAGGACGTGCTCGGAAGCGTTCATTGTCCTCTTCTCGTGATCATTTGTTGATGAGGAGGAGGACAACAGACAGGCTTACAGAGCTCCGTACCAGACACAAGATGCTGGAGACAGGCTCCGTAGTT